GCTGGAGCAGACCCGGAAGCAGCGAGCCACGCCGGTCATCCCAGCACTGGGAGGCTGAGGCGGAGTGTCTCTGAGAGTTCAAAGCCAGCCTGGGCTCCACAGCGAGACCCTGAGTCAAAGCACCAAACAAACTGAAATAGAATGCAAGAGTCCCTAGGGCACAATGCTGGTGACCAGGGCTGGCAGCACACAGCGGCCTCCGGGTGGGGTCGGCATGGGCCCCGGGAAGGCTGCCCGTCCTGTCCCGAGGCGAACAGCGAGGGTGGCCCAGGGGCTGCAGGAGCCCGGTCCACGTGTCCTCCTCCCCTTGGGGCTGGACTCCAGGGCCGCCGAGGTCGGTGCTGAGCTCGCCTCCAGACCCCGCTCTCGGAGCCCTGGGGTCACCGTGGGCGCTGGGTCCCCACCTCGGGCAGTGAGTGGGCTGCTCAACCCTCCTGGTCATGGCGGGTTCAGTGTCGCTTTTTGTGCATTTATTCCTTTGTTTATCTTAGTCCTGGGGACTGAACCCAGTGCCTTCACACTGGGCTGCATCCCTGCCCTTCTTATTTTTATTTTTCATTTTGAGACAGGGTCTTGCTAAATTACTCAGTTGCCCAGGCTGGGTTTAAACTTCCGATCCCCCGGCCTCAGCCTCCAGGAGAGCTGGGATGGCAGGCTGTGCCACCGAGCTGGCCTTCAGGGGCACGCTGAGGCGGGCGGCCGGGTCTTGTCCTAGCCTGGAGCAAGCAAATGGAAGACATCTGCACGGGAGGGCACTGAGAGCAGGCATCTCACCCTGGGGATGGCAGGGGCCGGAGCCATCTTGGGGACAGGCAGGAAAGCTCAGCAGCTGTGCTGATGGGAGGCGGCAGAGAGGCCCCAGGATCGGGGCACAGTTTTCCTCAAACTTCCCTTTCCACAGATCCAAGCAGTATTCTTGGCCTAGATATCTGTCTGAAACGTCTCCATCAAGTTTTTCTTTATTTAAACTTAGAACTCTATAAAAATGGTTTTAAAAAAAACAATAAGCCCCTCCTGGTGGCTCATGACTATAATGCCAGCACTTAGGAGGCTGAGGCAGGAGGATCTCCAAGAGTTCAAGGCCAGTTTAAACTACACAGTGAGACCCTGTCTCAAAAGAAAACAAATGAACAAACAGACAAATAAATGGCAAAAAATAATTCCTAGAACTCCTGGAGGCTGAGGCAGGAGGATTGCAAGTTGGAGTCTAGCCTGGGCAATTTAGAAGCTTAGTGAGACCCTGGCTCTAAATATAAAAAGGCTGGGGATGTAGCTCAGTGCAAGGGCCCTGGCTCAATCCCAATACCACCATAATAATGATAATAATAACAACGATGACGGTAATAATTTCTAAACTGTTGTGACCCGACACTGTGAACAGCGAACTACATGAGGGGTGCGGCCATCACTGCAGCCCACCCCGCGTGGCTGGCACACTCTTCGCCCAGAGGGACGCCACAGATGTGCCAGGCCCGGCCCACATCGGGAGCCCAGAGCACAGCCCGCAGTGCCATTTAGCTTCTTTTCTTCATAACTGGGGAGGGCGTGGGCTGGGGCGCCAGGTGGGAGTGAGCAGAATACGCCAGAAGGAATCAAGCCACGAATGAGTGAGAGTCGCTGGCGGGCTGTCTGCTCTTCCCTCTTTCACTTTTAATGAGAGGCGGGCATTGCTCCTCAGGGCCCCGCAGGTACAGCAGGAGGCCGACAGGGCGTAGTCTCAGGACTCCTAGGGGTGGCTGGAGGGCAGACATTCTCTCTCTCTCCTGCAGGATGAGGTGGAACCAGGGCCCGCACCAAGCGCCATCTCCAGCCCATTTTTATTTTGTATTTTGACACCGGGTCTTGTTGAGTCTATGTCTTATCCTCAGCCTTTCCGCTCTAGAGTGCTCCCTCTTCCCTGCTTCCTCATTGCCACGAGGTGAGCAGCTTTGCTCTGCCACACCCTTCCGCCATGATGTTCCCACTTCCCCACAGCCCAGAATCCACGGGCAAACTGACCATGGACTGAAACCTCAGAAACCATGAGCCAAAATGAATCTTTCCTTCCGTATGCTGTTTTCCCCAAGTGCTGTGTCACAGCAACAGAAAGCTAACATGCGTGACATCTGAAGTTGCTGTGGCTCAATGCCCTTAAATGTCTCAGCTCAAAGGGACATTTCGGCTCTGCTCCATCCTGGGGCCACACTGGTCACTCGGCCTTGCCTGTCAGCCATCTTGTCCTTTGCACCCAGGAAGGGGAGCTGAGGCAGAAATGGGGTCAAGCTACGGAGAGCAGCCCTCTCACCCGGAGGAGGACTGATGTCCACCAGCACCATGGCCTACAGCCGTGAGCACCTATGTAAAAATGGTGGAGTCACGACGGGATTCCATGTGAGAGAGTGGCAGGACTAAAACTGCTGGTAGCTGGGCCTGGGCCACACGGGGAACGTCGCGGGTGCTGACAGGCACAGGAAGTCCATGCTAAAGTGTGGAAGGCCAGGACTGTGGCAATAACGGGTGAGAACACCATGGCAACACAGGCCTTTATTTCCCACTTCCCAGGGGAAGGCTTTGGCTCTGCGTGAACCAAGTTAACAGCGAGCAAGAAGAGCTCTTCTAGAGGCTTCTCTGGCAACGCGGCCACCTCAGACCCGACAGAAGCCTCCTTCTCTGGCAGCGCCAAAAGCTCCTGGAATTCCTCCACCACAAATGCTGCCCGTGGTGTAGCCGAGAATTAATTAGAAAGGAAAAAAACCTCTCACGTCAAAACACGTATCTCACAACCTATTAGCGTGAAGATTAGCATTAAAGAAAGTTGGAAACGATAACATTTTAAGCACAATTTATAAGTCTAATTTCCTCCGTGTCATTCTCAGATAATAAATGCTTTTCCTTCCAGTTGAAAAGAAGTCTTGGTGGAAACGTGGGGGGTTGGGGCAAAAGAAAGAGAGTTAATTGAAGGCCTATTCGTTTATTTTTAGTCGCTCAACATCTGAGGGCCTAGGAGCATTTCCCTTTTCTGATAGAACGTGCCTTCCTGTGTAGCTGGGAAGTCCCCTGACCCCAGGCCTCCTCCCAGGTGACACTGATTTTTGACAGAATCCCTCAGGCCAGGGCTTTGAACCGGGGCCGGGGCTGGGCAGCCCTGGGCGAGGAGGGCAGGTGGCCGGCCCCAGGGACCAGGTTCATGGCTCGGTGGCTGCAGAAGGAGCAGGAGGCGGGTCGCGGGGCAGGGGCCACTTCCTGTGTGGCGCTGACCTTCCTGCCATTCCTGGAGCTGAAGGGATTTCAGGTCTGACCTTGGGGTCTGCGCCACGGTCTCTGTTAGATGGAAATGGAATCGGGCCTGGAGCTGGGTGGGGAGCAGGGGTGCAGAGTGGCGCACAGTGACAGAAGCGAGGGGCCCAGCAGCCGCCCCCGAGCCGTGGGGGCAGGGAGGCGGGGGGACCCGTCCCTGAGGCGCGGGGAGGGGACAGCCGGGGGGGGGAGCCCTTCGGGGCCCCTGGCCAGTCCTAGGCACACGGGTCCTCAGCGGGGCGGGCACCGCCTCAGTCTTGTCTCGGGCAGGACGGAGGACTGGCGCGGACCGAGGCGGGCGGTAGCGGCCGGGTGCTGGCGGCTCTTGCGCGCTCTCGTCTGCTGGCTGCGCTCCCCGCCCGCCCCCGCGCCCCCGGGCGACTGCCTGCCGGGGCCTGCTCTGTCCTCGTCCTCCTGAGTCCTCCTCCCACTCCGCCTCGCCTCGCCTGCCACCCAGTGTCTTCCTGTGGCCAGCCGTGAAGTCTTCGGGAGACTGTCTTGGCCACCGCCTCCCTCTCCTTCCAAACCACTTCTTAAAATGTAGACGGGCTTCGAGAGAGCAACTTGGCCCTGAGAAGACGCATGACGTACACCTGTCATCCCAGCGCTCTGGGAGGCTGAGGCAGGAGAATCACAACTTCCAGTCCAGCCTGGGCAACAGTGACAGAGTGAGACCCTCTCTCAAAAAACTACTTAATTACTAAGGGCTAAGGATGTAGCTCAGTGAGAAAACCCTGGGTTCAATCCCAGTACTGAAGAGAAAGGGAAGGAAGTAAGGAAGGAAGGAAGGAAGGAAGGAAGGAAGAAAGAAAGAAAGAAAGAAAGAAAGAAAGGAAGGAAGGAAGAAAAGAGGGAAGGAAGGAAGGAAGAGAAAAGCTGCATTTACTGAACACCTACTGTATATCTGGCCTTATGCTGGGCAGTCATGGCAACAGAAGGGGTGAGTAACGCTGGTATTATGATTTGTTTTTATTTTTTTGTTTGGAGATGAGGTCTCACTTTGTAGCCCAGGCTGGCCTCAAGCTAACAGTGATCCTCCTGCCTCAGCTGCCCAAGTTCTGGGATTGTGGGCTTGCAGCCCCACACCCGGCCACATCCAAGTCCCTTCTTTGTATTTCCCAGGTTCTTCCCGAGCTGAGCAGCCTGTGTCTCCCAGGAGGCCCTGCACAATGCACAGGCTCCAGGCTGCCCTGGCACAGAAGTCCCTGAGGCTGGGACATGGTCGTTGTGGTCCCAGCTGGATCACTAAGCAGCTAGCAAAGAGCTGCCCTGGGCTTGGTGCCCACCCTGCAGCTTCACCCAGCCCGGGACTTCCTGGATGAGGAGTCACTAAACTGAGACTTCGACCTTTGTCCCAGGGGCAGGCAGATTGGAGGCCCTTGTCTGGGCCACAGAGAGGGGCCCAGTCCAACCCCCTGTAAGACCACCGGAGAAGCCGAGTGTGGTGGTGCTCACCTCCCATCCCAGCATTCAGGAGGCTGAGACAAGAGGATCTTCGGGAGTGCAAAGCCAGCTGGGGCTGCAGAGTGAGACCCTGGCTCAACCCCCTCCTCTATAACCACATTCTCTTACCGAGAGGCGTGGCCACAGAGGGGGAGGAGATCGCCGGAGTCACATGGGAAGCCTGGGTCTCATCTCCCACCCGTGTGGCACTGTCCCGAGAGGTGATGGTCAGCACGCAGAGCGCACAGCGTGCAGAGCCCCCAGCCGCCATGGCTCCGGCTGTTTTTAGGAATTCACGGACACGGATGGCAGTTTCCCCAGTAAGTGTTTTAACATTTGAGCGTCTTTGGTTCCCCGCGTCCCAGAAGAGCGTCCTGGGGCGGAGAAGGCACTAGCTGCGCGTCCTGATGAAGCACTGATTTCGCATTGTTCCCAAACTGCTTGCTTGCAGAATCTGGTGCCAGCCGCCACAGACTTTGAAGAGAGAAGCTAATCGCTGAAATTTGCAGTGACAACTGGCAGGGCAGGTGGTGGGCTGAACACGAAGCCTGGAAGGTGGAGGGTGTGGCCCGGCCCGGCTCAGCCCAAGGCCCTGGGCCTCAGTGTCCCCGAGTGGAAGGCCAAGCATGCAGGCAGCCGGACCTGTGTGCAGTGCTCCGTGCAGCTCAGTGCCACACACAGGGTGTGTGTGACTGCTGGCATTTTCAAAATGTATTACAACGAAAGACCCATTGTGTGAATCCCCTCAGAATCCTCCCCTCACTTTGCACACACTCATCCCGTCATCCTTCCCTCTTCCTGCAGCAGCTCTGGAGTCCTCTGTCTTGAGGGTCTTCAGCTGCGCTGTCCTGGCTGCCTCGATGCCCTGAATGGATTCAAAACATCTCCCTTTCGTGGTCATTGTGACCCTGGGGAAGAGCCGGAAGTCACACGGTGCCAGATCCGGTGACTAAGGTGGATGAGGACACAGTGTGGTATGTTTATGAGCTGCCTTTCTGTTGGACGGCGCTGGGCAGCAGCAGTCACCGTGTTTGTGATCGTGTCTTATAAAGACACCATCCCTCCCACTGCTCCACTTCTGCTTTGCTCCCCTCCACCTGGCCTCTTGGGGTAGGCGCAGTTTGTACTGAAGACCCCAGGCCACTCTGTCCAGCACTGGCCAGGCTCTGTGTACAGCTCAGTTCTGATTCACGATCCCAGCTGCGGGACTGAACCAGTGCCCTTCACACTGAGCTGCACCCCTGCCCGATTTGCCTTGTTTTATTTTGAGGCGGGGTCTCACTAAGCTTCCCAGGCTGAGCTCCATCTTGCAAGCCTCCTGCCTCAGCCTCCCAGAAAGCTGAGATCACAGATGTACACCACTGTAGCTGGCTGTAATTCTGTTTTATAAATGAGGAAGCTGAGCCCTTCAGCCACATGGCTGGGGTCCAAGATGCCCAAGCCCAGAGCCTGAAGCCTGCGCAGCCCATCTTGTACTGGGCACCTCTGCAGCCTGCTTCCCCTCCTTGGCCCAGCCCTGGGCACCAACCATCGAGAGCCGTGATGGGACATCCTGCAGGGAGCCCTGGCAGCTGGGGGAAGTAACCCTGTCTCAAAGAACGAAAATGAAATAAAATAGGAGGTGTGCTCGCCCTGTGGGGTGCAGCAGGGACAACAGACACCGAGCAACTGCCACCACCCCCTCCCAGAGGAGCGGTTAGCATGGGGGAGCCCCTCTTCCAGGGGCTATCTCTCCTGCCTTTTTTGTTTTTCTTGGCCTGTGGCAAGTGTTAGAACTGCTTGCAGGCCTCGCTGAGCTGCCAGCGGGGCTGTGTGCCCATCCCGTCCGAGGTGTGGATGCGGCTGAGGGATGGCTCCCTTCCGCAGTCCAGCTGCGGCTGCCGTCTCTGCCCCATCCTCCTCTGGCCCCGCCTCTTCCCTGACCACTTGCAGGTTCGGGAGCCGTCCACTGTCTCTGGTTTTGGTTCTGGGCAAATGCATTTCCTCAGCTCCATTACTCCTGACTCCTCCACCTCCCACCAGCCTTCTGTCCTCCAGGAACCCTGGAGCAGAGGAGCTGGAGGAGACGAGCAGCTTTTGGGCTCCTCTCTTCCATAAACAGATGCGACACCATGGTGCGGGCAGACTTGGGCTGGCAGAGCCTTCTGTCTCCGGATCTGCCTGGAACCTGTGCCTTCCATCCCCTCCACTGGGGTGAGGGGTAGGGACACTGTGGGACGAAGAGTGGGTTTGGTGGAAGCAAGGGAGGAGGCCCCCGGGAGCCCAGGGTCCCTGCACACAGGGAGCGGTTGGGACGGGACCCTGCAGTTACTTCCACCTTGGGAAGTCAGCAGTGCCTCGCTGGTGACCCTTCACCTTGAAGCCTCCCAGGCAAATTTCACATGTCAGGGCTGGGCACCTACCTTAGCCCATGCTCTGTCAGTCAGCTTACCTGTCATGGGGACACAGCACCAGCACCCACAGCCTATAGGAGGAGAGGTTGGATGTGGCTCACGATTTCAGAGGATTCAATCCACGGTCAGCTGCTCCAAGGCCAGAACATCACGGCGGAAAGATGTGGTGGAACAAAGCTGCTCAGTTCACAGGAGCTGGGAAGCAGAGCAGGGGACAAGATCGAACCTACATGACCCCCAGACACAACCAGGAGTGAGCTCCACCCATCCCTGGGCGGCTCCCAAAGCCAATCAAGGAGATACCAACTGTCACCATGTCTTTCTGATGCCCTCTGACCTCACCAGAAAGCCAGAGTAGAGTCGGAAGTCTCCCCTCAATGTGGCTCCATAGTGCTTTGAGGTGGGCGGGCCAGCCCAGTGGAGACTTTGCAAGCCCATGTGCCTGGGGGTCCCCTTTGCACACTGCGCTGGGGAAAGCCTTGTTGGCTCTGCCCGGTTGGACATCCCTAGCACGGGCTGTGATGGAAACCGGCCCCTGCACTGGCCCCGCTCACCTGCCTGGGACGCTGTCCACCCCACCTGGGACATCAGTGACTGCCCCGTGTAGGTGCCGGATTGTGACACACTTCAGAAACAAGCCTGAGATGTGCCTGTTGCCACAGTCAGCGCTAACCGAGACAACTTCCTGTTCAATCCTCTTCTCTCCAATCACAAAGCCTCCTGGCAGAGAAAGGGCCGCACCCGATTGGTCTTCGGGCCTTTGAGGCGGATGGTCACACCTGCCATACAATTGTGTCCTTCAGTGAACAAAGCTCGGTTGAATGAGTGAACGTTGGAAGTCGCTGGCCATGTAAAATTGTAAAGAGTAGGAGGAGCTACATGTGCTGAGGTCTTTCTCATCAAAAAGGATGTCAAGGGGGTGGAAATCCCAGAAGGCTTCACAGAAAAGGGAGTCGGAAGTTTAAAGGGGGCGGGGCTATCACTGAGTTAGCAGGGGAGGAACACCGGAAATCAGGGGCTGCAGCATATATGTGCAGTGTATTTCAACGGGGAGTTGAAATGATGGCTCTTGGGGGGGGTGCACGCATGTGCGCGTAGTGGGACATTCTTTTGTGAACTCCTTCTCTTCCACAGCTTCCTCTCAAGGCCTCTGAAACCAGGCACTTGCCCAAGGCCGCTCACAGCGAGGCCCCACCCCAGCCGCTTCCTCCATCACGCCAGCAAAGACAGGTCCCCCGATAAAGGGGGGTCACCACCCATCCCTCCCCGCAGCGGGGTCCTTTACCTGGAGCTGCGTCCTTGGGCTCAGGACCCCTCCTCCGATCAGCCGGGTGCCCTGAAAATCCTTTCTCTCCTCCGAGACCCAACTTGCCCATCTACAAAGTGGCAAGCCTGGTCCCTCCGGGCAAAGACGATCGCTGTTTCCATGAGGTTGCTTTGCTGAACAAGTTGCTGGTGGACACACCTCCTCAGAACCGACCAGGCACCGCAAATAGCCTTGGAGAACAGTGCTCCCCCACGTTCCTCGACTTCATCGCCTCCTTTCCCCACTCCCAGTCTCTCCTTTTCACGACAGAACACGGAGATCGGCTGTGTCTGCTGGGATTCTCCAGGGGCTCACACGCCTTTGCACGACTTTACAAGGGGCCTGCTAGGTGGGCTCACGGGACCGGGAGGCATAGAGGCCCAGCGGCTGCCGGCTGGGTCAGGGGAGAAGACTCCACAGTGGCAGCCTGCGGGCGGGACAGATGGAGGACCCAGAAACAGCTGCAGCCCACGGCGGAGTCGCCGGTGTGAGTCTGGGCCAGGAAGCCAAAGGGCCTGTCTCGGAAGGCTGAAGCGTGCGCTGGAAGCCTGAAGGAACTGGAGACCGGTGTCCACAAACAATGGCAGGTACGAAGCTCCTCCTAAAAGAAGGAAAACGCTTCCTGCTTCTTTCCCTTTTTATTCCATCCGGGCTACAAGCCTATTTATTGGTTGGTGTCACCAAGGGGTGGGCCTTCCCTTTTAATTAGCTGGCCTATGTGTCAGTCACCCACAGACACGCCCAGCGCTTCTAACCTGCTGGGCACGTGGTGATTCCGGACCTTGAGGTGGATGCCTTTGGGGGAATCGGTTATTCATTGATTCATTGCTCAGTCAGGAGTAGGGGCGCCGACTGGATACTAAGCGCTAGGCACGCGGAGCACAGTGGTCAACAAGCTGGGCTTGGTGGAGCTGAAGGAACTGGGGCATTGACGTTAAACAGATGCTAGTCTTTATTTTTTAAATTTTATGTATTTATTTTCAGATGCTTTCTTCCAGCCTAGGTTGTGCACGAAGGAGCTCACCAAAGACAAACGGAGTCTGCCATGGACAGTGTCCTGAGAGGCCGCTCTGGACAGGGACGTGTGAGCTTCGCTGCAGCCTCTGAGAAGGGGGCAGCTGTGCAGGCAGTGGCCGAAAGGACCTCGAAGGAAAGGGGTCCACGAACGAGCCCAGGGCCGCAGCCAGGATCCGGGCCGCCTGCTCCCGAGGCCTCCGAGCTCTGGTCACTCACGCAGGGCCCGGCCCGGCCCGGCCCAGGAGCCAGGAGCCAGGAGCCAGGAGCCCGTTCCGGCCGCGTCTGCTCATCAGCCCTGCTGTTTGACAACCGCTTCCTGCGCCCGAGCCCGAGCCCTGATTCAGTGCTGATTTAGTGCTGGCCGCGCCTCCTCCCGTCCCATCCCATCCCGGGGCAGCGGGGAGATTTATGGCTCTGGCGACAGCGGCCTCCCCGTGCCCGTAAATCTCCGGCACATTTGGGGCGGCCGCGCTGCGCGGGTGACCTCCATCTGAACCGGCACTTCCGCCCCGGGACTTCAGAGGGAACCTCCGGGAGGGACGGGACGACTGCCTTGCTGGGGGGACCGGGCCGGCCGGGACAGCTGCGGTGCAGGCGTCGGGAGAGAACAGAGCTGCTCTTTGATGCCTTGGCTGCCTTGGGGACGTGCGGACCCCAGAGGGGCATTCGGGGTTTACGGGGGGCGAGCGAGAGCAGCATGCAGTAGGCCTGCGCGTCCGGCTCCTGGAAAAGCGTGCTGCGAACTGCGGAGGCAGAAGGGGGACGGCAGCCAGGTGTTGGGAAAGGGGCCGGGCGGATGTCTACAAGCGCTGGGCCAGGTCCTGGGCCGCTCTCGGTCTGCGCCCAACATCTACAACCCTACCTGGCTTACGGGGGACCCTGGATGAGTCAGTGGCCAGGGACTGGCTGAATGGGTGGATTCTGGCCGCCCGGGGCAGGGGCCCAGTTTCTGCTTATCACGAAAGCTTCCGGGAGACATCGCTGCCCTGCACAAGTTCGGTCACTGTCACCAACTTCTCTTTCCTTGTCCCTGAGCCTCCCTGAGGTGTGAGAAGAAAGACAAAAGTGAGCACGTTTGGCCCTCGGAGCAGCAGGTTTAGGGGCACCCGGGTGGGGGACTTCAAGCTTCAGAGGCTCCATGACACTGAAAAAGTCACATACGATGTGCGTCACACAGGGAGGCCAACAGGGGAGTCGAAAAAGGCCTTGGTGGTGACGCACACCCGTCATTTCAGCGCCCTGGGAAGCTGAGGCAGGAAGGTTCCAAGTGGGCATCTTAGGAGACCCTGTCTCAAAAGGATTAAAAAGGGGTGGGGTTACAGCTCACTGCTGAGGCCCCAAGTTCAGGTCCCAGCATGCAAAAGAAACAGAAAAGAGGCTCTTTGCGGCGACCCCTGTGGCCAGGGGAGGTACATCCTGCTGGGGTCCTTGGGCTACAGGTGAGGAGACAGCGCTCAGGGACCCAGCGCACACAGCTGCTACTTTTTGCTTTACAGGGTCTCACTATGCAGTCCAGGCTGGCCTCGAACTCATGGCAGCCTTTCTGCCTCAGCCTCCCCAGTGCTGGGATGACAGGTGTGTGCCACCGCACCCAGCTCCACAGCTGTCACGTGACACCCCCCTCGAGCCTTTTATTGGCTGAGACAAAGCCGGAATCAGGGCATCCTCTGGATCCCCCACGTCTCAGGGTCCCCGGCATCAGAGTGTGCTAGGGGTTCCCTAGAATGGAGGCCTACGCTCCGGACTGGCTCAGGGGAGCGGTGACATTATCCCCAGCAGGGCAGGAGGAGCCGCTGAAATTGCTGGGTAAACAGCTGGGAGCAGAGCGGGCCTCATTAAAGCGCAGTTAGGGCCGCGCTCTGGCCTCCGGACGCTGTTTATTTGGAGGAGGCCCAGGGGCCGCGCGGGAGTCGGTGGGGCCTAGGCGGGCGTCAGGTCTGCCCGCCCTCCCGCTAGTGATAATGGGAAACCTCGGACCCCGGCCCCAGGGCGCGGATTTCAGAGCACAGCGCTCGGGGCCGCAGCGTAGAACCCCCTCAAACAGCTGAGTAAACGGGGTGAGGTTTGTAAGAGGGCAGGCTGCGAGTTCCCCTTCGTAACTCGGGGCGACCCGCGTGCGGAAGGAGAAGAAAGAGACACGGAGGGAGTCGTCACCAACATTCTTTTTTTCCCCCCCAGTGTGGGGGACAGAACCCAGGACTTCACACTGACTACATCCCCAACCCTTTTAAATTAAAAAAATTTTTTTGCTGGGTGTGGTGGTGCACGCCTGTAACCTCAGCACTGGGGAGGCTGAGGCAGGAGGATTGTTGAGTTTGAGGCCAACCTGGGCCACTCAGTGAAACCCAGTCTCAAAAACAACAAAAAAAATCTCCAAGATGAGCCTAAGATGCTGCAATTGTTTTATTTTCTGAGCAGCGGAGCTCCACGGGGCTGCAGGGTCAGGCGGGCTGGGGCTCCCTCTCCAAGCTCAGTGGAGGCTTCTGGGGCCACGTCTGTTCCTCTGCTCGCTGGGGGGTGGGTGTCGGCTTTGATTCTTTCTCAACACCTCCTGGGATTTCTGTCCCATCAGGAGGAAGTAGCACGCCAGTGGTCACAGAGGAGCTGACTTTAACCTTTGGAAAAACAAGCTTCCCGGGAGGACCAAAAGGTCCCATAAACCCTGCCAGCAGCGTCTACACCAAGCTACTCCCCACCGGCCTCGGCCAAATGGGGCTCGACTTGCCCCCCGCCCTTTTGCAGTGGGGGTGACTGTCATAGCGGAAGCCCTGGAGCCCACAGCCTGGCTTTGTTCACACAGGAAACACGGGAGCAGGTCAATTCCAGGGATCCTGACATCCAGCCTGGGGGGCAAATCAAGTCCTCTGGAGGGAGGAGCTGGGGCTCAAGACACGGTCCCCACTCCTGGTGCAGGCAGGAACCATGCCATTCAAGGGGGAAGCCAGCTCAGTGGTGTGTGCCTGGAATCCCAGCACTCAGAAGGCTGAAGCAGGAGGGTTGCTGAGAGCTGGAGGGCAGCCTGGGCTGCATAGTGAGACCTTGTCTCAAGAAGCAAAAAGACTAAGCTACAGATGCTCCCCAAAGCTGGTATCAGGGTGCCCAACTGCCAGTATGGGGCCGGTTTGATCTCAGCGCCTTGTGGTACTGGGGCTTGAACCCAGGGCTTCTCACTAACCCACATCCCCAATCCTCTGCAGTTTTACTGAGACAGGGTCTCTCTAAGTTGCTTGGCCCGAGTCGGGACCCTCCTACCTCACCCTCCCAGTGCTGGGAGAGTAGGCATATGCCACCACATCCAGCTTTTCTTTCATTATTTTTGAAACCAGAATTCCGTTTTGGTTTTCTTGACAATATCATCTGATCACAATACTTAATTTTTTTCTTTTTCCAATGGTTTCCCTTTCTTTTTCTTTTTTTGAGACAAAGTCTTGGTATGTAGGCCAGGTTGGCCTTGAACACATGACAATCCTTCTGCCTCAGCCTCCTGAGTGCTGTGACTACTACAGTTGTGTGCCACAATGCCTTGGGCTAAGTGTGTGTGTGTGTGTGTGTGTGTGTGTGTGTGTGTGTGTGTAGGGTACTAGGGATTGAACACAGGGCCTTTCTACTGAGCCACACCCCCAGCCCTTTTTTTAAAAAAATTATTTTGAGACAGGGTCTTGCGAAATTGCTCAGGCTGGGCCCAAATCTGTGATCCGTGAGTCTCAGCCTCCCAGAGTGCTGGGCCTACAGACCTATACCACCACGCCCATCCTAAACCTCTATTCGGTTCCCAGTATGTTGTTATAGCAACAGACTAAGATGGGCTCACATTTTATGCTCCTGAACGGACCATTCTATGATCTCATTTAAGCTTCGGGTCCGAAGACGGGGCAGATGGCATGTTGCCTGGTGATGGGATGGGTGGGTGCTTTCTCACCCTTGCCAGCTGAGGCTTGCTTGCTAATTAGCACATTTGGGGAGCAGATGGGCAACGTGTGCAGGAATCATGGGCCTCTCCAAAGGGAGCCTCGTTTTCTGAAGAAAGTTGCTGTGGAACATTTCTGCCCAGTTGTCCTGAAAGCATTGGGGAATTTGAAGGTGCTCAGAAACAGTATGGGGGACAAGGTGTTTACTGGAATAATTAAAGCAGACCTTGTGGTAGGAGTTGTGATCTATATGTCTTTTCTCTTTTGTTGTTGTTTATTTTAGACAAGGTCTTGGTATGTAGCTCAGGTTGGTCTTGAATTCTCAGTGATTCTCCTGCTTCAGCCTCCTGAGTGCTGGGACTACAGGCCTGCACACCTACACTCAGCCTGGGATCTATATTTCAAACACAAGGAAATAGAGGCCGGGATGGTGAAACTGAATTGCCAGCTTGACTCTATGAAGAGACTCCCAGAGAGGCAATGGATCATGGCTCTGTGCTCAGCAGTGGATTAATCCATGACATCCAGAGCTGAGCATGCTGGGAAGGGGTGGGCCTAGCAGGAAGAGAGGGTCACTGGGGAGACTTTGGGGAGCACAGCTCTTGTTAGTGCTGTTCCCCGGCTCTGCTTCTCAGCCACCATGAACGGAGGAGCTTTGTTCCCCTATGCCCTTCCACCACGATGTTCCAGCAACCATGGACTGAATCTCCTGAAACGGTGAGCCAGACCCACCCTCTCTTTTAACTTGTGGGTGTCAGATGTGTTCCTGTTGCCCAGCAATAGGAAAACTGGCAGATACACAGGCTGAAAGTTGTTACAGTAAAAGACACTGCCACAAATCCCCCTCAGAATCCTCCCCCTCACTCTGAGCACACTCCACCCCTCCTCCTGTCCACTTTCTGCAGCTCTGGAGTCCTCTTTCCTGAGGGCGTTTACCGAGTTGAGACTGGAGATTAGAGTGTGGTAGGCTGGGTAACCTATCAATCACAAAGGGCTGCAAAGGAGGCTCAACAACAGGAAGTGGGCTGTCAATCACAGGAAGCTGTCAAGAGAAGCACAGAACAGCTTCAGGCAGACCGGATCTGAAAGATGGAAAAGACAGCAATCACGTGATGGACTTCGGAACCACTGCCGTCTTCCTGCTTCTGCAGCAGCCTGTCTTACACCTGGGATGTATCTTTCTCCATTTTTCTTTCTTCACTTTTTCCTTTTTCTTCTTTTACTTTAAATAAAAGTTACTTTTTCGTGTTCATCGATTGTCCTGGACACCTCTTTGGGTGGACAGCAAAAACCTGGAATTATGGGACACTGTGCTGTCCGGCAACAAAGTTTGATCACAAATATGGTGACTGCCGCTGCCGAGTACCATCTAATGGAAAGGCAGCTCGTAAACGCGGGACACTGTGTCCTCATCCACCTTGGTCACTGGATCTGGCACCGTGTGACTTCCGGCTCTTCCTCAAAGTCAAAATGACCAGGAAAAGGTGACATTTTGAATCCATTCAGGACATCCAGGCAGCCAGGACAGCAGCTACACTCTCAGGAGAGAGGACTCCAGAGCTGCTGCAGGAAGTGGCGAGGACAATGGGATGAGTGTGTTCAGAGTGAGGGGAGGATTTTGAGGGGATTCGTGGCAATGTGTCCTTTCCTGTAATAATTTATTTAAACATTCATTCATGATCATACCTCATAGTAAACTTAAAATAAGTAGAAGTTCACTCTAAAATAAAGGTGAGTAATGTAGTGAATTCATAACCTAGGAGCATGGTTGCTTCATCTCATTATTGGATTTGATGTGCTCTGTTTTATGGCTGGCAGCGTGGAAGGTTTGTCCGACCGGCGCACCACATGTCTGAGTCATGCACTGCAGTGTCACATGCTGTAGCTATGATGTCATCAGGCCAGAGGAATTTTTAGCCCCATTGAATCTCATGAAGTCAGGTGAGGTGGCACATGCCTATCATCCTAGCACCCGGGAGGCTGAGGCAGGAGGATCGTCGTAAGGTGGGCTGGGCTACAGAGTGAGACCCCATCTCAAAAACAGAATAACTCAGGATGGATGGTAAGGACATCAGAAGGAGGATGAGTATCTGCCGTCCCCACCTCTTGCCGTGGGTGTTAGTAAGGGTGTGCTTGACCACACACACACACACACACATACACCTTTGTGTGTTATTAGGGATTGACCCCAGGGCCTTTGCACTGAGCTCCATCCCCAGCCCTTTTCTTTGGTACTGGGGATTGAACTCAGGACCTTGTGCTTGTGAGGCAGGTGCAGCACCACTGAGCTGAATCCCTGGCCTCTACCCCCAGCCCTTTTTGTTTTTTATTTTGAGGCAGGGTCTCCCTAAGGTGTTCCATTGCCCAGGCTGGGCTGGAATTTACAATCCTCCCGCCCCAGTCTCTCGGAGTGCTGGGATTCCAGGACTACACTCCCCGGCCTGGCTCTGGCTTTCAGACTTTTAAAGCCTTTTTATTATTAGATCTACAAACCCTTAGCTAAGGCTCAACCGACTTGCACAAAGCAAGCACACCCTGCAGCCAAGTCCAGCCTTGCCAGGCCCCTCCTCGTGAGGCCCCGTCTCTGCTGACGAGTCATAGTTGTATCTCGTGGGGATGCTTGCCGGGTGGGATAGTACAGCATGACCCTGCTTCCTCCTTTTCCTTGTTGTGCTTCGAGGTTTATGGAGCATCTCAGCTTCAGATGTTCTTGCAGCAGAATGAGGGGCAGAAGCCCTGCCACTCTGTCCCATCACCTGGTCAGGACCGGCCCTGCTGTCCTGCTCTGCTCCCCCGGGGAGATAACCAGGCCTCAGGAATACCAGGCAAGGCCGATTTGATGACACGATGAGGAGGCTTGTGAGGGCGGGGCAGCTGTGCTGCTGAACTGTGTGACCCGATTAACAGGCCTGGTGGGAAGAGAGCAGTCTTCTCCCCACAGCTCTGCACAGCAGCTGAAATCACACCAGGCCCGGCCCTGGCACAGAGTCAGTGTCCACCGGGCTTGGTCCCCGCTAAGCCGGGCCATGTTGTGCAGCCAAACTTGGGTCCATGGCCGGGAGCCAGAAGGAACGGGCGGGGCGTGCGGGACCCTATGTGGTCTGGCCCCCTGCACCCCCAGGTCAGCCCGGATCTGGCTCCTGGACCTGTCCCCACCGAAGCCCCGGCCCACGGATCAGTCCCTTCCAGGGCATCATTCTCCTGAGCGGCGCGCGTGAAGGCAGTGAGAAGCCGATGAACGGACGCATGGCTGGGCGCAGGGCCCACGCGAGTCCCATCCGCGGGGAGCGCAGACCGGAAGCGACTGCGGCACAGCCACGTCCACGGGCAGAGGGCAGAGGGCAGCGGGTGGGGGGAGAGGGACCAGGAAGCAGGACGGTGCGGGCCGCGCAGCTGCGGGCACGGACGGTTGGACGCGGCGCTGCCCCGGAGCCTGGCGGGTGGTCCGAGAATGACAGCGTCCTGCAGACGCGCAGGGTCCCTGGGCAGCCCCGGGCCGGTTCCTCCGGTCTGAGTGGCCGGTGAGCTTGCTGGAAAGGTCGGAGGAGGGGTCGGCAGGTGTGGGGAGCAAGGCTGCGGGAAGCCGGAAGAGACCCAGGAAGAGATCGCAGGGCATCCGGAAGCTCGGTCCAGGAAACAGCTCGGATGACTGTGGGCTTTGGGCTCACCCGGGCAGCCGGGGGGAGTTTAAACAGAACAGCAGGCTGATCGGATTCGTGTGCTAAAGAGATTTCCCCAGGAGACCGTGGGCAGATGGGAGGTCAGAGGGGACCAGACTGGGAGCAGGAAGACTAGGAGGATTGAGCCCTGCGTGGTGGTGTGGTGTGTGTAATCCCAGGACTCGGGAGGCTGAGGCAGGAAGATCGCTGTGTGTTTGACGGCTATGTAGTGAGTTCGAGGCCAGTTTTCAGTACTTACTGAGGCCCTGCCTCAAAGTACAAAAAATTTAAATACAAACTTGATAACAATGAGAGTAAAGCAACATTTATTGAACTTGTCCCAGAAACACATATTTTCCTAACTTCATAAACTCTATAAATTTCTTGTCATTTTACAGATCAAAAAAAAAAAACCTAGCAAGTGGCCCAGAAGGGCCAAAACCCTGGCCAGGGTGTGCGCCATCAGCTTTTATATACTGATGTTCTCTCCCGAACCCTACAAAACTCACTCATTTTGTGTGGGTAGATTTCATTGGCTTTTCTGTGTAAGTGAGCATGTTGTCTACAAAATAAAGCAGGCTTGCTGGGGATTTAGCTCAGTGGTTTCGGCACCTGCTGTGCAAGCGCAAGGACCCGAGTTCGATCCCCGGTACCAAAAATAAAATAAAATAAAATAAATATACAGTTTCTCTGCCATTCTCCAGCCAAGGCGCCCGCTTTAACCCCGACAGGCTGACAGTTGTCGAAGTCCCCCAGCCTCGTACGGACGAAAGCCAGTGACTGAGTAGAAATCAGGCCTCACTGGAACCCTGAGCAGAGGGTGGACAACTGCTTCTCAGGAACTCAGGAAACTCATGCGTCAGCAAAGGTGACTCACAAATAAACCAAAAGAATATGGCTGCACAGATATCAGAATCTGATCAGATGAAACAGTTTAAGGAATTCCTGGGAACCTACAATAAACTTACAGAAACCTGCTTTTTGGACTGTGTTAAAGACTTCACAACAAGAGAAGTAAAACCTGAAGAGATCCCCTGTTCAGAACATTGCTTACGGAAATATTTTAAAATGACACAAAGAATATCCATGAGATTTCAGGAACCCCATATTCGGCAGAATGAGGCCCTGGCAGCCAAAGCGGGACTTCTCGGCTAGCCCCGATAGAGAAGTCCCAGTGGCTGAGCTCTGGGCGGAGGCTGCCATGGCTGTTGCCCTGGGAAAGAGGATTCATCAGGTGGAATCCCGGCAAGTGGTGGGCACCGTGTTGAGCCATCTGTCATGACTATTTGCAAATGGAAACCACTGGAAAAACAAAATTGCTGCTCACCAGGAATAATCAAAATAGAGGATCTTATTGTTCAGTGAAAATAATAAACTGCAACATTAAGATAAGGTTGAGGCCTTAAGATTCAGTAGCTTGGTAACTTAATTAGAAAAATAAGCCACTGTTTCTTCAACTGGGACTGTTAATTTTAAAGCAAAATATGTGTTCAATCATGTAAGAGGAAAACATTACTGAAAGTGAAATAAATGGGAATATACTGAGCAAAAAAAATAAAATAAATAAATAGATAAATAAATACACAAAGTTCTTTAAAATAAATAAAATAAACCAAGCTTGCTTTTTCCCTTTCCAGTTTGGATGGCTGTTTCTTTTTTTGAGACAGGGTCTTGCTGTGTATTCCCAGCTGGACTTGAACTCACGACGTGGCCCAGGCTGGCCTCGAACTCTCAGGGATCCTCCTGCCTCAGCCTCCCCAGTGCTGGGATGACAGGGGAGCGCCACCACGCCCAGCTGGCGGGCACAGGATTCACACTCAGTCTCCCAGACATAAAAGCCTTCCAGTGAGAAACCCGATGCTCTCTTCCGCCGCTGACAGCCTATCTCACAGGAGCCCCCATCTGTTTTTTTCGCCATAGACTCGATGAGGATCTGCACCGTGCTCGACCAGCCCGGCTCCTCATTAATCTCGTTGAGCGGTGTAATTAAAGCAGCTGTTAATTGGGGCATTGCTCAGCAACGCCGTACGTGTGACAAGCCGTAATTAGCGTGTGATCTGGCACTGTGTTCTCGGCGGATCGGATCGCTGGAAATGACTCCGGGGAGCAGCTCGGGGAGTGAATTCAAAGGCAGCGGGGAGGAGAGAGAGAGGAGCCGTGCATGTCTTGCTTGAGGGACTGGGGCTCCCCGCACCCCGGGACGGCCTGGATGGGACTTGGAGAACGAGGTCCTCTGCCCGGGGCTGAGGGCCCAGCCGCCCTCCTCCCATGGGTGGCGCTGCGCACGGGCACCCGGCCTGGAGTTCAGTGGCACACACCTCTCCTCCCAGCACTCAGGAGGCTGAAGCAGGAGGATCCCTGTGGGTTTGAGGCCAGCCTGGGCCACATAGTGGGACCTTGTCTCAAAGCAACAAGAACAAAGATGAATGCATGTTTGTGATACGTAATAAATGCATCCATTGTGGGCAGCGTGTGGGCACACAGTGGGTCTGCATCCTTTCCATGGCTCCTTCCCCTCCTGCATTTCCGGTCCTCCATCCCCAGGCCCCTCCCTGTCCCCACAGATGTCTCGTCCTCAAAGACACCTCCCGGCCTTTCTGAGCCTGCAGTCTGAAAGCACTGAGCCTGCCAGAATGCTGACAGTGAAAGACGCGGGAGCCCTGCCCACAGCGGGAGGACCCGAGGGTGAGCACCCTTCCCAGGAGAGGCCCTGGGGGCCGCACACCCAAACCTGGCCTGGCCGGCTGCTGTGCAGGCCTAGGCAGGGAGCGTGTCGGACCCTAGCTTGGGATCGGTGCTTACCAGGCTGTTTCACACTTATACATATGTGCAATCTTATTTATTTACTTCTGGGTTTTGAGACAGGGTATGTTCTGTGGTCCAGGCTGACCTTGAACTTGCAGTGATCCTCCTACCTCAGCCTCTCAAGGGCTGAGCTGACAGGGGTGTGCCACCACGCCGGCTTGTTATCTTATTTAACGTCGGCATGTTTCACACACATATGTGAACGGACAGATATATTTAATAAACTTAGCAAAACTGTGCATAAAGCAATCTGTAGAGTGAGGTATGTTCTCAAGCACCAACTCCAACAGAGCCTTCGGATCCCACTGAGACAGAACCCTGCACTTCATAGACTCTGTAGACAGGTTTGTTGGGTGATAGATGAACACCAAGTTGCATGAAGTTGAGGAACAAGTGCTTGGCTTAGCTGTGATGTACCCTGTGAAATCTTAGTGGTTTTGTTTGTTTGTTTTTAATTTCCTGAGACAGGGCCTCTCCAGGTAATTCAGGCTAGCCTTGAACTCACAGCGATCCTCCTGCTTCAACCTCCTGAGTGCTGGGAGGACAGGTGTGTGCCACATCCACCCAGCTTATGCTGTGAAATCTTCAGCCAAACAATTACTGTCTTCCCATAGATTTCATAGATGCTGCTGAGTTTGTAAATTAAGAGGTTTTTATCGAGACTGTTCACATTTTGCCCAATAATGTCAGAAAAAAAAGGATAGCATTTGATCAAAGGGTTAATGCTGAGTTTTTTTGCTGATCTCAAGTGCTGGGAGTGGAGATGAGAGGATTCTCTAAATATAGTTTGTATGGCAGCCTCTCTGGCTCCGAAGCCTCCCGCAATGAATGCCTTATTCAGGCCTGCGACTGTCAGCTGCGACTCGGAGAAACCCCGCTCATTCACCAGAGGGCTTGTCTCGACTTCTCTCTACAGAAGCTGAACGGGCTAGGAAAACAATGATCGAAGACGCTAGCTCTCAAGGCCTCTCTAAAAGGGCAGGGTTTCCGAAACATTTCCTGACTCTGTAAGAATCCGGGGCTGCTCGGCGCTATAGTGCACACTTGGTATCCCAGCATGCAGGAGGCTGAGGCAGGAGGATTGCTGTGAGTTCCAGGCCAGGCTGAACTACACAGTGAGGCCCTGTCTCAAAGAGCAAAAGCAAAAATAACACACAAAAAAGGATGTGTCAAGATGCTTCATGAGCTATGTAGCCTCGCCGTGTAGCTTCCTTAGGTGAAACGCCGATGTGAAGCAAGCGTCGGGGTGTTGGGTGGGGTGGGCAGGCTGCAGGGACTTCGCCTGCTCCCGTGCTATTTCAGCCTTGATCTCCTCACTAGCCCTTCTATGAGGAAGGAGGCAGGACAAGGCAGGAGCTCGAGCCCCTTCTGCCCTGTATAACAAGCGGTTAGCTCCCGGGACCACTGTGTCTTCCAGCAAGGGGCCACACAGCATTCTCAGGGCCATGTGCTTTTCCGGAACCTCACCACCTTCAGCAAGAGTTTTGCCAGTTGTGGTGATGCCTGCCTGTCATCTCAGCACTCTGGGAGGCTGAGGCAGGAGGGTGGCAAGGTCAAGGCCAGCCTGGGGGACTTTCCTACCTACTGAGACCCTGTCTCAAAACGTTAAAAAGGCCGGGGAGGCGGCTTGGTGTGAATTCAGTCCCACACCAGTGGGAGCAGGCAGCTGGCTTCAGCCTCTGTTTCGCCCCAGCCTGCTGGGGCCTGCCCTGGGCACACCGCCTGGCAGGTCTGCATGGCTCCTTCCGCTGTTGCTGTCTGAGCAGTGTCCCCCATGTCCAGGCAGGAGTCGGCTGGGCCCTGCAGCAGGAGAACAGGGCAGTGGCTGAGGCCTGGGGCCCTGCAGCTGGTGGGCACCAGAGAGGCCATGGAGGGGGGGCCAGAGTTGGGCAAGGTGCGGGGATCAGACAGATGGACAGACAGAAACAGATGGACGCACATGCTTCCACCCGTGCACCTGACGGACAGACCAGCCCACAGGGAGTAGAGCTGTCTTGGTCAAACAAGGGAGCAGAGAATTGTTTCGAGCAGAGAATCCCAGAGCTCCCAGAGGCTGAGGCAGGAGGATCGCCGTGGACGTGCCCAGCCTGGTGGTTCAGCAATTTGGGAAGAAAATAGAAAATACAAAAGAGCTGAGGGTGGGTTCAATCTCCAATATTGAA